CCCCCTCCCCCCCCCCCGCGTCCGACCGCGGGGTTCCTGCCCCGGCCGACAGCTCGGCGAGAGCGGCTCGGGCTCTGCCCTTTGTTTCCGGGCCTCACTTCCTTGAAGAGGAGCGTCGAACACACTTGGCGGCCCCTCTACAGACCTAAGCTGCTCTTTCCTGGCCTTTCCTGCCTCGGGCCGCAGGGATTGGACCCGAACAGGGACCCTGGGTCCCCCTGCCGGTGCATCCGCCCGGACTTTTCCAGAGCTCTTCTCCCCCAACTTAGGGTCCCCAGGAAAAGGCACTCGTGGCTGATGCCTTGGACCAGACAGCGCCAGCGTTTCACTCCCTGGGCCTTTGTGTCTCTTTCCAGAGCGCAGGGTTGAGCTAACCATTTCTGAAGATCAGCTGGAGGGAGAACAGCGCGAGAAGACTGGGTTTCACAGCTCAGGACCTTCCTTATTTGTGAAAGGTCATCGTTAAGGGTGAAATTCCGAGTAGAAAGTCAGCTGTGACCTTTCTAGCCGCCCTCCTGAAAGGGGGCCAGAAGTTTCCAAGCTGCCGCTGGCAAATGACCCTTCAGAGGATCAGATGTAGCTGGAATCAACTTTTTAGTAATAGACTGTGGGAGATGTTGAGTAGAAGAGGGTGGATTGATGGATTCCCACAGAACCATCTCGAGTCTAGAGGCATTGGCACTTGATCCTTCTTCTAGGATGAAGTATTTCAGAGTAAATTTCACTGTGTGATGGAAACAAGTGGTTAATGTAGATTTGCCTTAAAATCTCATCACCCAGCAGTGGCTACTGGGACATCTCTGATGGTGACAGGTCAGGTCAGAGACAAAACTGGCCCTATCCACTCCACACCTTTTGATCAGAGCCTAGGGACCTGCATTTTCAGCTGGCCACTGAGACATGGGAGTAAACTGTTGTTCATCGGATGAGTGCCTGTCATTCTGAAGTGCCTCTTGCATTCAGTCACTGTCACACCTGCCCGTTCCCCACAGTCCTCTGCTGTCCTTCACTATGTGAGGACCTCTCTGGCCACCTGACACTCCCCGCCCCAGCCAGTGTTTAGTCTGGAGGAGGCCTGCAGGCAGGACCAGGGGTTGACTGCTGTCTTTAGTTGTCCTGTGGGCACCACCAGTAAGTAGGTGGGTTGTAGGCACTTAACTTGATGGGAAAGACTTAGATGTGGGTGGAAAGAAGAGAGGTACAAAATACCTGATGTATTTTTGTAGAATTTAGCAGGAAGCCAGACTCTGCAGCCACTGAGGCATAGGGCATTTTGTCACTGCAGAACTAAAAGGGTTAAGCAGCCTCAAGCAGCATGTGGATGGCCCCAGGCCAGGTCATGCCAGCCTAAGCGGGTTCCTGTTCCCTACCTGCCCTGGGTTCTATGTCCCTAACCACGTGTATGTTCAAGCTGTAGAGCAGACACCCGTGTTTCTGGGCTTGTTTTTCTCTGCAGTGATGGAATCCCAGTGCTGGCTACAGGGCAGTGACCAAGCCAGCTGTGGCTGAGCACTTATGCAGCCTCTGGAGATTCCCAGAGCACGCTCCTAAGGCCCACGGCTGACGGCATGCCAGGGTCCTTGTGAAAACAACCAGGAACTCATGACTTGAGATTTCTAAGGACCTTTCTGGGAAGGGGACGTAGGGGCACCAAGGGCATTAGAGCTCAGTGTAATTTCTTAAGCGCTCTCCAAGTGTGAGATGCCAGTTTCTGGCCCATTCATTCTTCTCATACCTGTAGTGACTGCCCCACCAGCACTAGTCAGCCATACTGATCTCGGGTGAACCAGTCCACCCAGTGAGGGGCTATCACCACATTTCCAGTCAGGGAAGGCAGGCAGGAGTGCTGGCTGTAATCTAGGGCTTAATTCATATTATTTGAGTGAGTTTGGTTTGAATGCTACATTAAGTCTTGCATAGTTGAAATTTTAGATATGGTTATAAAGAGATAATGGAAGAGATAAAACAGGGTCAAGGATTTAGCTCAGTGGTGCCGATGCCTGCCTCGCCTAGTGCAAGGTTATGAGTTCGATTCCCAGTACCAAAAAAACCAAAACCAAACAAAAAAGGTAAAAGAACTTGCCACAGCTGGGGATGTAGTTTAATGGTGCTGCACCTGCCTGGAAGCACAAGGTCCTGAGTTCGATCCCTGGGCCAAAAAAAAGAATTTGCTACAGAGGAACTTAGTTTTATCCTTAACCTAGGGTATCTTTCTGTAATTGGACATAATCTTATATATTAATTTTCAGTAGACTTAGCAATTTTCACTAGTTACTTTTAAACACACTTTTTTAAAACCTCTGTAGAAGTTTGCATCAAGACAAAGAACTCAAGTATTGTATTACCGGAAGTGATTGAAATTCTTTTTATGTACTTTTGTAATAAACTCCATTTAAAAATAGGTGATATTTTAGCTGGTGTGGTTGTGTGGACAGTAACACTTACTTGCCATTCTGGAAAATTAGACTTTCAGGGGGAAATAAACTGTAGTCATTGAGTCTTTTAACTTTTGTTTTGAAATACAACCCCACACTCAGGTGGTGGAGAAATTTTGGAGGCCTTAGGTACCATCCACTCTAGGTGTGCCAGTCTGTTGTCCACATACACGTTGGTAAAGGAGCTCAGGTGTAGGATTCTGTGAGGTCCAGCATGCCTGTCCAGATGCAGGGTCCCTTGCCCCAGAGCACCCTTTATGGCCTGCCCGCTCATCTTCATCTTCCCATGGCACAGTTGCCATGAATGGCATCATGTGACATGTGGCTCTGGAGACTGGCTTTTCCCAACTGAAAGGGATTGTTTACAGTTTGGGACTGTTACACATGGAGTGCTGTGAACGTTCTCATGTGTATTCTCATGATCCTTGGCTTTCATTTCTTTGGGATAAAGTCCCAGGACGTTACTTAAATGTAAGGGTGTAGCATATATGGGAGGTGAGATCTGTGACACTGAATTGGCACTTTCTGCTGCTGTGGTGGGCCTAGAGGATGTCAGAAAGTACCTGGGAGAGTGCACAGGACCAGTGTGAACCTTGGATGTGCTGGACGTGCCTGTTGTACCTTTGAGGACGCTGCTGGTAAAGGAGTAGAGCCTCCTTTGCCCTAGGCACATTTCTGGAATGCAGCTTTTCAGTGGGCTGCCCACAGTAAGTATCAGGACTTTGTTGCAGGAGGGAAGAGACCAAATGTGGGGTGGCTGTCCTGCTGGCCAGGGTCCCACGGTGAGGGCTTCAGAAAGTAGGCAGCATCATTGATTCGGTCCTGCAGACCTCCAGTGTGCTCTGCAGCCTGTGTTCCGTGCTTCACTGTGAGGTCCTTCCTCTCAGGCCCAAGGCAGAAATTCTTGGGGTGGAGTTTCAGCATGGCACCTTAAGATACATTTCTGTGGTTTTATTCATTTATATGTTGATAGAAGAATTGTGTTAGATCTTAGAGCTTTGTCATCTGTAATATAAAGGCGCAGAGCTGTCTCAGGATCACATCTTTGCCCATCAGCACTGTTGTGCCTTTGTTTTCTCTGAGGCATGGAGACTGTCCTGGGTCACTGTCTGTGAGGAGTGTGGAGATGTGCTAAAGGTTTCTTCCTCTGTTTTCACAGGGCACAATGTTTGCACGAGGACTAAAGAGGAAATGTGTTGACCAGGAGGAAGATGGGGATGATGCACTGGCTGGCTTTGGCACCATCCCTTCCTATAGCCTGCAGCGGCAGTCGCTCTTGGACATGTCTCTGGTCAAGCTCCAGCTCTGCCACATGTTGGTGGAGCCCAACCTCTGCCGCTCAGTCCTCATCGCCAACACGGTTCGGCAGATCCAGGAGGAGATGACCCGGGATGGCTTGGGGCGTGGGGCAGGACCCCAGAGCACTGGGCGGGCACCACTCGACCGCCTGGTATCCACAGAGATCCTGTGTCGCACAGTGAGGACACCGGAAGCCGGGTGCCCTGTTCCTGACCTGGGAGGCAGCTCTTTGCAGGGCACACCGCCTGAACTTTGCACAGTCGAATCAGCAGAGCTGCCGAGGAGCCCTCAGAGCAACCTTTGGGAAATGGACAGCCCTCGGGAAAACAGAGGGAGTTTTCAGAAGTCACTGGATCAGATATTTGAGACCCTGGAGCATAAAAGCCCCAGCTCTATGGAGGAGCTGTTCTCAGACATGGACAGTTCCTACTATGACCTGGACACCATGCTGACAGGAATGATGACTGGCACCAAGCCAGGCCTCTGTGACGGGCTTGAGGGCTTTGCTGCAGCTGCCCCAGCTTCTGGCTCCAGCTGCAAGTCTGACCTGGCTGAGCTGGACCACGTGGTGGAGATCCTGGTGGAGACCTGAGACAGGCCTCCGACAAGACTGGAGCTCCTGAGAGCTTCTCAGTGTCAGAGACAGGGGGACTTGTTCCTATACAAGGAGTTATCACTGCCTGTGCCCAGCGCAGTTGCCTGCAGGTTCTGAGAATATTCTGGGACAGATGGCCCTTGGTGAAGATTGCAGTTCTCAGGCCTGTCCTCCCTTCTCAAGAAGTCTGTCATGCCAGGATGGAGTGCTTTGAAGTCTCAGCCTGGGCCAGGTGACACCTCACAGCTCTGGGCCTCTCCTTTCTGTCTGGGCTGCTGCCGTGGAAGACAGCAAGTCCACAAGCTGCATCCGACCTCGTTTAACTTTAGATAGGTGAACTTTTTTAAATTAAGTTTTACATGCTTTGGACACTATTTTTGTCTTTAAGATATATTTTTTAAATTTTTATACTTTACCCCTTTAAGTTTGTTCCAATATTTTCTTAAAGTATATTTTTTCTATGAAACATCCTTTGCTGCTACATTGGAAACTTTTATAGCCTGAATAGTTGCAGTTGGTGTGTTTCGTTTTTTTAAGGTTTGCATAGGAGATTTATTTTCTAAATGAGATCCTCCGTACTCTAAGGAAGTGCAACATATCATGGTTTTCTTTAGCTTTATGCATGACCTTCCTTCCTCACCTTCTGGGCTGTTACAGTGGAGCCATATCTTGGCAAAGCTCAGTTACATTGAGGGCCACGCATAGCTAAGATACATTTGTCACTAGATCTACCCTGAGCCACAACCACCAAGACTTCTGTGTAAGGAAGATTTTTACTTAGGCCTATTTATATGGAAATCCTCTGAAAGCAAGGGTCAAATATTTGTATAGAAATCACAGGTACTAGCTGCACTCCAGAGACCATGGGTCTCAGGGGTACCTTCCACTGGGTTGTGTGGGCAGGACCCTTGGGTCTGGTTCTTGTGTGTCTTACCCGGGGTACCTGTGTTCCTTGAAGTACACGCAGCCAACTCCATGTGCCAGGGCACTATGAGTATGGAAAAGGTGTGTTCCTGTGTGTTGTGGGGTTGGAAAATGCTTATACTTGCTCTGTTAAATTGGTTCTGGGACAACATTTTAAGGTTACATTGACATCTAGGGTGAAGGAAATCTAATTTCTGGCCACTCAATCCTGAGGGTCAGTGTGGTGCTGCTTCAGGTGAGCTGGGTTGGCCTGGCCCCTTCCAGTCCTCAGTGGCTTACAAGTCTGACTCCTCCAGACCCACACCCACTCATGTTTCCTGTTTGTCATGTGCTTTTTTCTGACTTCTCCTTTGAGCCTAAAACGTTTGTTTTCTTTTGTGCATAAGACCATTCTTTAATGTTGGTGATGTAAACTTCACTTTATTAAAAATTTACCCAACAAACAAAATGGAAATATGTTGTGAATTACCTAGTGTGTCATGATCCTTGAATGGACTTTTTCTTACTTGTCTTCAGCTATATTGAGTAATTTCCTTGTAGAGGCAGGAAAAGAATTCCCATTAGGATGCATTAAATAGGCTGTTTTCCTGTCCTCACAGAGTTCTAAAGCAGAACTCCCCTTTGCCTTGTTTGGTACCTCACCCACTTTGGAGAGCATTGACCTCAAGGTTGGGCAGTGTCCTATCTGCCAGGGCTATGGGCACCATCACGGTGGGAGGCCTCAGGTGAGCATAGGCCTGGCTTTTGAGTTATAGAGCCATGAACAGCCTCCTGCTAATCTGGAAAGTGTTCTTTGTGGAAATAGTTTAAAGGGTGTATGTTTGTAGTGGTAAGCCCTAAGTAGTTATTTTCTCCGTCTTGTTTGTCTTCCCTAAATACAGTTTGCTCAGCTTCAGTACTAGCTAAGGTGTTGCTTTTGGCAGCCTTGAAAAATGTAAGACACCGAAGTGTGTGACTGTTGGTGCCTATAGGCCATAGGGTGCTTGTTACTTAATAAAGCTGGTCTTTTTAAGGACAATAGGGAGGGAGCACTGAGGGGGCTGTGCTGTATATTCCTGCATGGGTGTTGAAGAGCCTGTCAGCACTGGTGTCTGGTAGTTGAAGGTGGAGAGCCCGTTTAGCTTGTGCCTTAATTCCTGCTTATTTCTGCCATAGGCACAGCAGTGGTGCCATCATTTTTCCTTAGCTTATTTGCCAAGTTTAATCATGTAAATGTGTGGTATTTTAAATAAGTAGGTACAAATTAACTTTGGTGGAAAAAGATGTTCCAAGTGTTTCATAATTTTGTTTATAAAATAATGGGGCAGAAAAAAAAATAATGCCTTAGTTGGTACTTAGCATGGGACAAGTGTGCATATTGTCCTAACACAAGTATTGAGCAGGGACCTGTGACCAGGGAGGACTCAGGAAGTCACCCACATGCCTACCATGTTAGCACAGAGCCCTGAAAAGTTAAAAAGTAGTGCACACTAGCAAGGGATTTAGCTCAGTGGTTCTGCTGCCTCCAAGTGCAAGGTCTCGAGTTTGATCCCTGGTACCAAAAAAAGTTTTTTTTAAAAAGTGCCTGTTAGCCAGGCTTGGTGGTGCACGCCTGTAATCCCAACACTCAGGAGGCTGAGGCAGGAAGATCGCTGTGAGTTTTAGACTAGCCTGGGCTACATAGTGAGACCCTGTCTCAGAAAACCAAAAATAAATAAAAAATAAAATGTGCCTGTTGAATCCACTGTGTCACGCTGCCAAAAGGTAGTGCACACTTTAAGTACTACAATATGAAGGTGGCAGGCTTCCCTGAGGGAACTGCTTTTTCTGTAGGTCTGAAACTAGTTTCAGGGCTAAGTGCTCTCTCAGTGCTGCTGTTCGGTCCTTCCCACGCCAATGCAAGGACACCCATATGACTGAGGCACAGGCCCCAATGCTGGGATGGTGTTGCTGCACAACGTGTGGTCCCTGTGGGCTGGCTGGGTGTGATTAAAGCGGGATAGTGCTGGTAGCATGAGAGGCGTAGCCACATGAAGTGCTGTCACGAGGGAGCTGTTGGGTGGTCTTGTTGCTGGCACCACAAGCCCTCCCTCTGGACCCTGCCTGGATGTGCTTTCTGTGGCCCTTTGCTAGCCTTGCCTGGTGACCTGTGAACTGTAAGCATGCTGGGTATGTTGGAGTTGGCCTCAAGATAGAGACAAGGGAGTCTTTTCGCTGTCGCCTCCGCCCTTACTGGTGTCCAGGCTCCTAGTTTCCATCTGCAGTGCACATGGTGTCCCTGGGGTCTGCTGAAAGCTAGCCTGGGCCTTTGTGGCACCACGTGTGACAGGTGGTTGGGTTGCTTACAAGAAGGGCCATGTCTTTATTGTGCTTTGTACCTGTGTTGTGTCCTTGGCCCCAGCTTTGGGTTTTCAGTGGAGGTGGAAGGGGAGGGGAGCTGGGCTGTGGGTGAGTGTGTTATAGCAGTGCCTCTGCAGTGCCACTGTCTGGGGATGTGGCTGCACAGTGAAGCTGCCAGGGCAGCTCTGTGAGCACCAATCTTGGCCCAGCTCGCCAATGTGTCCTGCCCAGTGGGCTGTGTGCCCCCTCTCTATGGACTGCCCCCTGCACATCGGCCCAAGCAGATTGGCCACAGGGCTGAGCAGCTTTGTTTCCCAAAGCCCACAGAGCCAGCTGGCCAGAGGTGGGCCAGGCAGCCAGGTTTGCCTCCTCTGCCTGACCGGGGGAACCTGGGGCAGCTGGGAGGGTCAGGAAAAAGCCTTCCAGATGAGGTGCCCTGAGCCAATAGCTTCGGCTATGGAGGGTGGGGATATCGCCCTTGACAAGTTGGCTGTGGGCTCACCTCACTCCAGCCCTCGGGCTTCAGTCTGTGCCTTTCTTATTATGGTGTGGCCTGGGCTGCACCGCATCTCTTTTATGAAAGTCTCTCAAATGTGTAAGCTGCCCCTGCAACAGTTCTCGGAGCCCCTGATGTCCCTGTAATGAGCATATGGAATGTGGTCCTGATGGGCCATAGTGGGTGGGGTTCCCAGGAGGTGAGGCTCAATAAGCTGAAGGCCAGGGTCACGACAAAGCTGTGCCCTACCCCTGCTCTGTAGGCTGTTGGGTGCACCTAGGGAACCTCTCCCAATCTAGGTTGACCCGGATTGTCAAGAGAAATGGCTCGTTGCCCATGGAGGTTGCTACAGGATTTTATGCATGCACCCAGGGCTGGGAGGGCTGAGTGGTGCTCCTTGCTTCTTGCATTGGAGGCTAAAGCTAGGCACTGGTGTCCCACCTCTGCCTGCCTGGAACTCAGGACTATCCCCCACTATTCCTCAGCCTCACCTGAGCGCATGGGTCACAGGTGTCTGCCACCTCACCTAGCCATTCCAGGTCTTTTCTTTTTTTTTTTTTTTGGTTTTTTTGAGACAGGGTCTCACTGTATAGTTGAGACTGACCTGGAACTTACTATGTAGCCCAGGCTGGTCTTGAACTCACAGCAATTCTCCTTAGCCTTCCAAGTGCTGCGATTACAGGCATGCGCTACCACGCCCGGCCAAGGTCTTTTAATTCTTTAAGCTGATCCCCCCCGCCCCAAAAAAAAATATATATAGTATAGGTGATGTTTTCAAATATGTCTACATTTTTGGAATGGCTAAATTGAACTGATTAACAAATGCATTACGATAATCCTTTTTTGTACTGAGAACATTTAAATTCTACTCTCATTTTCCGGAGTTCATAGTTATCAGCTACTCTCAGTATCCCCGCAGTTGCACAGCAGATCTCTTGAACTTGGCCCTCTCATCCAAGCTTCATACCCTAGGACTAACTCCCTATCCCCAGGGAACTGCTTCTCTCAGCATTGGAGTTCCATTTTTTAACTGTATAAATGAAATCACACGGTGTGAGTCTCTGCCTGGCTTACTTCACTTAGCTTATGCCCTCCGGGTTCATCTATACCCCCAGGGACAGGGCTTCCACTTTCTGTGGGTGGTTGATACTCCACTACTCCACTGTGCGTTCATACCTCGCTCCTTATCCACTCATCTGCTGTTGGGCCTGTGGTCGATTTCATGCCTTGGCTATTTCAAGTGGTGCTGCCCTGGACATTTGCTGGACACCCAGGGATGGAGTTCCTGGATCACATGGTCGGTCCAGTTGGGACGCTGTGCTGTTGCCATGATGAATGTGCAGTTGACACTGGCCAGCGTGCAGGGCTCTTGCTTCAGAGCTTCACGGGCTGTCCTTCATCTTTTTGACATTAGCCATCCTAACAGGTGTGGTAATGGCTAATTGTGCTTTTAATTTGCCTTTCCCTGATTATCAGTGATGTGGAGCATTTTTTCATAAGCATTTGCATATTTTTTGAGAAGTATCTACTCGGGTCCTTTGAGCTTGCAAGGCAGGTGGTGGAACCACTAAGCTAAATCCCCAGCCTGAATTTTTGTTTTTTTTTTTTTGGTACCAAGGGATTGAACTCTGGACCTTGTGCTTGCTAGGCAGGTGGCAGCACCACTGAGCCAAAATCCCTGGCGATCCTTTGTTTTTTGATTGGGTTATTTTCTTGCTGTTGAGTTGAACTCCCGAGTGCTCTGATAATGACCCTTAACCAGATATCCTGTGACTCACACATATTCCCCGTAGACTTGCTTCCTTGACTGTGCACAAGCTATACCTCTTTCTTTCCCCCCATCCCTTCCTTTTTTTTTGGTGGTCCTGGAGATTGAACCCAGGGCCTTTTCACTGAGCTACATCTCTGTTTTTGAGACAGGACACTGCAGTGTTGTCCAGGCTGGGCTTGAACTTGTCATCCTCCTGCCTTAGCCTCCCAGAGTGCTGAGATTACAGGGCATGTGCCACCATTCCCTGATGCATCATTTTCTTTTTTCTCTGTGTGCTATTCCACACTGTCTTCTGGTTGAAAAAGAAAAATCAGCTTTTCTAAACTTCTGGCATGGACACACAAATCTGTTACTGCTTTGTTATAATCCTCAAACCACATTTCACGTAGGACTGGCAGTACAGCTGCCGGGGGTGGGTGACCAAGGGCCAGATGACCGTGACAACTACTCCCTTCCCCCTTGTGACAGGGACAGCTACCATCATTGTGCCTGTCCCAGCTGTGTCATTATCTGGGTCATTCAACCGGGAAGCTGGCATCTTCTGGAGAAGCTGGTTGCCAGTATGGTCTGGGCGGGGCAGACAATGGGGTTTCAACTAAAACCTCCAACTTCCCCAGTGTGGCTTCTCTTTGCTAGCTTCTCAGACCTCAGGCCTGCTGGGGACAAGACTGCAGCATCAGTCTCTGTAGAACTAATGATTTATTGAGAGCACAGGCTTCTGCAGGCCTTTTTATTTAATAAAACTTCACAAAAGTCAGTGAACTTGGCTCTTCCATCGGAAGGAAGGAGCTGCCTCAGCAGATGACTAGGGAAAGCTACAGCTTCTCAGGGCCTGCTGGGCCAGTGTGGGAGCTTCCATGAACAGCACCCCAGGGGTTCTTGAGCATGTTCAGCCACTGTCTCCCTGATGACATTTGGTGTCTTCTCCTGTCTTTCAAACTCATGGATCTGAATGAGCTGCCTGGGGTCACCACCAGGCATGGTGACACCCACTGGGCTACCTGGACACCAGTGCCCTGCCCTCTACATGTGGGCTGTGTCTGCCACAGGACATTTCCTCCTGCATCCTGACAGGACCTGAGGCAGGCCAGGGGCTGCAGACAGTGTGGCAGATCCTGAGACACAAAGTAGTTCCCAGTTTCTGGCACCAAAGTGGATCAGTAAGAAAACGGAAAAATGCTCCAGAAAAGTACAAAGTGCTCCTGTTTTTAGCAAACATCATTATTAAATGCCATTTTTAGGTTCCATGGAGCAAAAATCTTCTTTTGCTGTGGGATGGTGATGTACTGTCCGTTTCCATGGAGGGGTGTCTTCAGAAAGAGGCTGTAGGTAATCAGGCTCCCCTGTCTGCTGCCAGGCATCCCTGAGAGCTGTGAGGAGGGCAGGGGTCAGGTACACATGCGTGGGACTGGAGATGCACGTCTGCCTTCCCAAGTGATAAGGCCAGCTTTTTACAATTCTATGAATCCACCCTTCAGTTCCCCAGACAGGAGTGGGTCCATTTCTAAGTGGGTTCCCAGCCCCTGTGCTGGGTCTGGCCCCACCCTGCCTGCTCACCCTGGGACTACACAATTGTTCACATTCATAGCTGCTGGTGGCCACTCCCCTGGTGCTAGCTGCTGTGAGTGGTGCGGCCACCAACACTTTGGCCCAGAGACAACAGCCACAGCCCCATCTCTAGAGGCATCTGCCCAAGAGCAATGGGGCAGAGTCCCCTGGGGCCCTGGCCTAGGGCCCTGTGTGAGCTCATGATGAGGACCCTCAGGCACCCCACAGCAGCATCACCTGGCAGCCCCATGCTGGCCATTGAGGCTACAGACCACATCAGCAGGGCAGCGTCATTCTTGTGCCACCTAGCTTACACCTGGCCTGAACTAGCCATCCTCTCCTGAATCTAACCCTAACCTGAGGCCATGCTGTGGGGCTGCTCCTCCCTCTGGGTAGCAGAGCCCCTTTCCTCTGCCCCTCTTCCTGCCATGGTCCCCACTGTAATGACAGCATCAGGTGGCTGCCAGACACAGATCTCAGACCCTGCAGAAGTATCTGGCACCAGGTGTAAGGCCTGGTGCTGGTACAGGGGAGTCCCCACAATGTGACACAGCCTTGGCAGGCTTTCCTGCCACCTCTGCTCTCCAGCCACTTCTCACCCCCTGGTACCCTTGTTTGTGGTCTTTGTAGCTGACACCTGTGGTCTGTGGTACCTGTGGCACTGTCACACTGTGCCAATCTGCCCTAGGCAGCAGAAAAACTCCTTTCCTCTCAGTCCACAAGAACTGCAAGTGTGTGAAACTCAACATAGGCAGGAGGGGCTGTGGCCTGTGGACCGCGCTACCTTTCCCAGGCCTCTCTGGTGGCCCTCACCTTGGTCTGGATCAGGGCTTTGCAGTGGTGTAGACGGAAGCTGCTGACCTCCAGCAGTTCCTCAGGCTCTTTGAGGCCAGGACCTTGCAGAATGTGATCCTGGCTTCCAGAAGGGCTCTGGGGAAACAAAGTTCTGTCACAGCCAGTGTGGTTATCATTTACTCTCCTGAGCACCTGAGTACTTCCCTCGCAGTTCATTCCAGAACAGCACTGAATTCCTGACACTTGGGCCCCTCCGAGGTCAGGTCCCAGGGTTCCCCACTCAGCCCTGCCACCTGCTGCTCATCACCTGACCTGCAGGCCTCCAGCACTGTGCACCCCTTAACCTGCCTGTGTGGTTGCAATGGGTCCCCCAGAAGTTTTAGAAAAGCAGTCCCCAAATTCCTGTGTCGATGGCATTTAGAGATGGCTTTGGGAGGTGATGAGGTTCAGAGGCCTCCATGGTGGCATTTACACAGACAGCAAGAGACCTGGGCTGGCACACTGGCTCTGCCTGCCCTATGATGCCCTCACTGCATTGTGCTGAAGCAAGGAGGCCTCACTAGGTTCTAGGCAGTGCCCTGGGCTTCAGCCTCCAGGACCATCAGCCAAATACACTTCTATACTTTATGAATTACCCAGGCTCAGTATTTTGTTACAGCAACAGCAAACAGTCCCCTCCCAATTTCCTGCTCTCCTGGATCCGCTTTCCCTGCAGCAAGATGGGGTAGGGTCCTCCCCACTCCTCCCCACCCCTCACTCGTGACCGACTTGTGTGGCACAGGGGCCTTCATCAGGGGCACCCTTTTTGAGCTCCTATATTTAAAACGTTTATAGCACTTATGAACAGAAAAGGCCTTTGCCATCTGGCGTGGCAGCTGAAAGGCCCTCCCTGTAATGTGCACTTTGATAACAACTCCCTGTACTATGGCTGACCTGAGCCACTGGGCCTTGGCAGGATCTTGCCTTGGGCATTGGGTGTTCATCTTGGGGCCACCTGCTGGGCTCAACCCCACCGGTGCTGTGTGATGTTTACTCAGCAGTGCAGGTGGCCCTTCCCACTGCTGAGGGTGCCCCTACCTGGATGCCCCATTCCTTGATTCCTCATACTTCCTGTGCCCATGCCAGAGCCTGCCCTCATTCCCCACTTCCTGTGCCCACAGCACTGAAGGCACAAAGCCTCCAGCAGTGTCCTCCTGCCTCAGTTCCTCAGGGGAATCCCTAAGAGGCACTGGCCTGGCCTCAGGATCACACAGTGCAGAGCCTTGGCCACCCACTCCGAGCACACACACATGGTGGTCTCCAGTCAACCCTCACCCTCCTACAGCTGAGCACAGATATCTGAGGGCACCCAGCACTAACACCATGCTCTGCCTGGCTGTCCCTGGCCCCACCTTGCCTCGGTCACTCCAAATCAGTGGCCTGGAGGCCTGGGGAAGGCAGGTGCCCTCTGCTGCAGACCATCCATTTTCACCACCCACCCTGTCCCAGGCAGGTGGTCCCTGGGGTGCGCTAGCCATGTGCGGCTGCTACAGTGAGTCCCATCTTCCCAGCCACCTCACCTGAGCGACATCCACGCCGAGAACAAGGAAGAGGTTTTCCTGGCAGTGAGACTTGCTCCAGAGGCACTGTGATATGGACGTGGCGTTGGCATTCTGAAGGTTTCTCCAGAGCTTCCTTGATTCAGAACTGGAACACAATGCAGCCATTAGGAGACTGAGAGCCTTACGAGCAGGTCCAAAGTCCAGCTCACCAGCACAAGGCACCCAGCCTTGAGGCTCTCAAGGCAGTGCCCAGCAGTAGCTGTGCGTTCACCCAAATACCCAGTGTTGCCTGCACCGCCACCCTGCCTGTCTTTCCCCAGTGCACCCCCACTACAGTGCAGCACGCTGAGGGCTTCTCCCAGGAGCAGATGCTGGGAGGTCCAAGAGTAGGCTGGGCTGTTACCCATGAGCCTACATCTGGTGGCTACAAAGCAGATGTGCTCAGAGCAGAAAGAGGAGTGTGCAGAACAAAGAAATGAGTGGGAAATGTACGTTGTGGCCACTGAGTGCAGTGAGGGCTGAGAGGGGTCTGCCCCAGATGTTCACACCCTTATGGGTAAAGGGAAGCCCAAAAACTGCAGGACCAGACAGGACACACTGAGCACCTACTCTCTTTTGAAACACCCTGGTGTTTCAGACCATGAAAGTAAGTTCCACTCCAGCCCAAAGTGCCGCTGGTCCTCTAGCCATACCAGACCCTGGCCTGCTGGGCTGCCCTGGAGGTTGGCTCTCCCAGGGGCCGTGCTCTGAAGGGGCACCAAAGAGAGCTCTGGCCTTGTCCCCAGGTCCCTTGGTAGAATGGCCTGCCTGTCTGCGGGGTTTTAATGAGGCCTGTACCCAAGAAGACAGGAGCACTGCCACAGGCCAATCTGGCTTTCCCCACCTTCTCTTCCTCTGGGGGCTTCAGGCTAACATCTCTAGCAGCTCAGCCCAGTTCATATCTCACCCAGTTAGCACAGTTCCTGTCACCTCCCAAGTCCTCAGAGGATGGTCATTTGCATAAGGCTGTGACTGCCTCTAGGAGCCTCAGCCCTGTGGGCAACGCCAATGCAGGCTCACCCAGTGGCTGGGTGGCTGCTCCAGGGGCCTCTCTGCCCATGCCAAGCCCCACCCATCCTTCCTGCCCATGCAGAGACACCAGAGGCCTTGTGCCGGGTCAGTTTGTTCTGGTGCTTGGGGGTGACTCCTCTTTAGTATCCACCTGGGCTGTGGTTCCCATGGGAGGCACACAGGTGGCTTCTGGAGTGATGGCCTCTCTAAGCAGTAAACACAGAGCCTCCCACAGCTACTTCAGCAAACAGTACAAACATGGAGCTGCAGAGACTTTCTTAGTTCAGATCTAAGTTCATTACCACAGTCTGTGTACAGGTGAGAGGCCAGGGTTTTCTTCCTTGTTTGCTTCTAAGAGATGGTCTAAGGTGGAAACATCTTCAGTGGTCTGTTTGACTGTGACCTCTTGAAAAGCAAACCTAAAAATGTTCTCATAGCTGACAACAGCCTAGAAAGAAAGAACATTCTGAAGTTAGTGGGGCACACACACATTAGGCCACCTCATGCCAGCTAACTTGGTACAAGTGAAATCAGTACTTGACTGCACTTAACTGGATGATCAGTGCTGTCATTCCTTGATAGTCATTCATGAAATCTCTGCACTGTGCACAATTATGCATCATGAATCCCAGGATCACAGGGCACGGGCAAGGGCACAACTGAAGGTGACCCCTCATGTTACCCCAAGTTCCCAGTGAGCTAGGCGTGAGCAATGTCTGCAGTGTGCAGGGAGAGTGTGTGCATTTGAACTGCTCACCTGGCATAGTGTCTAAATTTGCCTAGTGTGTCCTGCAAAGTTTCTATTATGCTCAAATGTTCCCTAGTATATCATGTAAGAAAATCCTAGTTTCTAAACAAAGGTTACAGCAGAGTTGACTGGACTGAGTGGACCTGTCAGAGGTCCAGGGAAATACTGGTTTAGAAAACACACAGTCCATCCACAGTTTCCTTCCTTAGTGATTTTACTTATCTCTGTACTTCCATGTTTGAGGTGAACCATTTTTGGAAGAGATGAAAGGGAAAGAGGAGCAATGTGAGAAGGAAGTCTGATAGAAGAGAAGTGTCTGGCTGGTGGAGGGGCAGTGGTGGAAGAGCCCACTAGCCAAGAAGGCCAGAGGTGGTCATCGGCAGGGGACGAGGCAAAGGCTGGTAGCTCTGAGGAGGAAGCAGGGTGAGGGGCTGGACATTCCCAAGCTCATTACTTTGGAATCAGACTGAGATTGTGTTTTCAGGAGCTGGGACTTCCCAGAGCTGCAGCTTCAGAATTTGGGAAAAGAGCTCCTTCCCCAAGTGCCTCAAGTGCAGCTGCTGCAAAGGGGAGTGGGTAAGCCTGGGGAGAAGTGGTCAGGGAAAACAGCGGGGATTGGGTGGCCCCACCTGACCTTGGTCTCATTCATTTCTGCAACATCAGGAGGACAGGATGGCCAACCACACATGGCAAGGGACAAAGACCAGGAGAGAAGAAGCCACTCAAAGGCTGGCAGCCTCCCACCCAGCCAGGGCAGTGAAGCCCATGGAGGCCTGCGGGCCTTTTGGTGTGCAAGACACTGCTCACTGAACAGGGTGACAAGCACTGCAGAAATACCTCTGAAGATGGGTCACAAGCAGTTCCTGTCACCCAGAGTTCACCCCAGTGTGGCTGTTGGGACCTATGCTCCCTTGGGGCAGGGGGATCACTCCATCGCTGAGATTCTGCGGGTCTCTGCAGCAGTTCTGGGCACTTCAGAAACCGCTCAAATGGGGCTGAAGATTCCTGGAAGCTTTCAAATTCCCCCCAGGCGCCACTCAGCTCTCCTGCTTCAGGACCCTCAGCGGTGCAGGTAGGGAGGCCTTCTCCTCCGAAGCTGCTGGCTTTCCCACCTGGCAGAGGACTGTTGCAGTAGATCCTTACGCGTTCCAAACTGTCCTTCCTCTGTCCCCCAGCTACCTGATGGAGGGAAACCTCGCCTGGTTCCCCTGCATCACACACAGACTCTCTTCGCAGCTCCTGCTGGCCTTGCATCTTCGTGCAGCCAGGGCAGCAGACGGATGGGAGGCAACTCGGAGGACACGCAGCCGCTGAGCCGCGCCGCCCGCCCCTCAGCTTCCTGTCTAGCTTCCTGCGAAGGGCCCACGTGCGGCCGCGGAGCCACAGCTCCTGGGCGCCGCTGCCTGGCGTCTGCACGCTTGGGTGACGGGTCTGGAGTAGGACGGCTTCCTGGGGCCGGACAGGTGTAGGGAGTGGAGGACTGGCCAGGAAGACCCGTGCGGGTCCGGACGGCTCCGCTGACCGCAGAG